GTCGATGTACGCGCTGTTATTCCCGAGACTGGTCTGCTACTGGGAGTTGCCCGTTTTCGTGCGACGGATATAATCAGTTGCCAGTCCGATGTACGCTAGGCATAAGGACGTATGCTCCTACTGTATGAATTGTTGCTATTGTATTTCCTCTGTTAGATTTGTTTGATTCTCTGATCTGTCGTTGGTGAAGCCACAACTTTGTGAAGTCCTTCAAGACGACTGCTGTTGTGATTTAGGGCAATACTAGCCTGGTCTTACCATTCCATGTTACTCATTTCATTTTTAAGTACATGTACATTTCTAAGTACATGTAGGGAAACGATAATGGACCCCGGTTTACGGATGGATAAGGCCAGGCTAGGGCAATACATACATAAATAGAATTGAATTGGGAGTTTTGGGAGTGAGAATTGTCCATTTATCACCAAGTCAAGCTACAATAAGGAAAGCAGCGAGGATTGGTTCGGGGCCAAAACAAACGTTATCTTTGCTGGAAATAAAGATGTATTGAAATAATGTGGGAGTGTTCAATGCATTTATATCATGGACGGTATCTGTCTAGACCCCAGTGACTCTCGATGGACAATGCTTACCTGCCAGCCAAAGCCAAAGAGGGGAAGTGCTCATGGACAAGGTTTTTAATTACATGCAAAAGTAAACTGCTTTTGCTCAGTAACGTTTTTGTCAGTCACAATTTTTTCACTTCATTGATTTTTTAAGTCCAAAATGGTGAGTATGACACAAACGAGCTAGGAGTTCACTTTTACATGTAAGTCAATAGGGCCAAAGTTGGAGCAAAACTTTGTCCATGAGCACTTCCCTATTGGCCTTCATAGAGCTAGTGGGTTAGCATTGTCCATCTATGTACAGGCTATGTTTAGACCCAAAATGTGTGACCAGGAAGGCCAACGTTTCAAAAAAAAAAATGATGAAAAATAAGTCAAAATTGCTTAAATTTGGTAAAATGTATCTTAATCTGAGCACATATTGACTGCCTTTAAACCAGATTTGCCAATGGGACAAAGCAAAATGATCTTGTTTTACAAAAGATACAAGGAATGTCTTTCTTGGAATGAGAAATGAACGGGTGAGTCCAATTGGAAAATCTTGGTTTAAGACAGTCAAGAGTGTACTTAATTATTATAAAACTCCCTCAATATATATATTTTTTTAAACTTTTGAATGCGCTGGAAAACGGCTGCAAGTCCTGAGTAACTCTGAAACAGTTGTTATTTTGTGCTTTTGTGCAGTACAGTGTTCATGGTACAGTGGCTCAGTTGGTAGAGCATTGGCCTTTGTACCTGAAGGTCGTGGGTTCGAGCCCACCTCATTACTTAATTCATGACTCACACTGATGACTACTGTTATTGTGTCCTTGGGCAAGACACTTAACCCAATTTTGCCTGAAGCCCCCACCGTAAGATCTCAGCTCTGACTGCCACCCCTCCAACCCAGAAATGGATTAAGGGGAAGAAAATGGATGGATGGAGTGTTCATGGTTTTACACTGGACCAGAGCGGAGAGGATTCATGGTCTGAACCAAGCGGCTTCTCCACCTCTGCTGCTGTGACCTGAAGTTCTGTTGCTGATTATTACTATTGTTAGCTTTTTAGAATGATACATTTTATTTCAAATTTTTGCTGCTAATGGACACCTGAATTTCTCCTACGGGGGAGTAATAAAGTATCTATCTACCTATCTATCAATTTAAGCAATATCTCCCTCATATTTTTGCAGTGAAAAAGAGAAATACACCATACAACAGTCTCTTTTAACAGCTTTTAATCTCAATGAATCCAAATTGTGACAAACATCAGGCAAAGAAGTCATTCAAAATCATCTCGACACCAGCCCCGCATTACAAAACACACGTCGGTAGGAAGCACACGATTTATACTCTGCAGAGTTTGGTATAAAAAGACATGTTTAAACAGTTTGTGATTCAATGGCCGTGACAATAAAAGCTTCTTAAATACCAGACGCCCCATTCCTTAGTGTCTTAACCCTTTCAACAGACAGACAGTTCTAGAAAGTTCACACGAAACAGACGGATTTGTCCAAAAAGAGGAACTGTTGGAAGTCTTTATCGTTCTTTGTCCCTTGACCATCAGATTCGGCCAAAAACTTGTGGAACATCTCAGCTTGATGGACAAAAAGAAAAAAACAAGAGAAAGCACATTTACTTTTTCCAACATACAAAGTCCAGGAAGATGGGATCATTTGGTTTTAAGAAAGATTTTTAAGTAAGTAGCATAAATAAATTCAAAATAGATGATCAGACTCAAGGTCGAGGTATAATTTCAGACTGCAACCAATGACACACCTTCTCAGAACTCTTAGTTTATGTCGACAAATAAAAAATGAGGCCAATGTTGCTGCTGTAAATGGAGTAAACTGGTCTCTCACTTTATCGTGGGTTAAAATTTGCAGCTCTGCGGTTTCCCAAATGTCTGTGTGTTTCAGCCATGGATCTATAATAATATCTGGATAGGGTATTACTAGCATATAGCTGTCCCACCCATGGGCACAGGGGGCGCTGTGGTACTGCAGACTAAATTCACGTGGGCTACCAAGAAATTTTCCCCATAGATCTCAATGTAAACTAAACCAGCTCGACCTCAACTGACTGAGAACCTGACAGAGAACCTACAGCTTTCATGAAGATTCGATTTTGTGGGGATTTTAGTGTACTTGTAGGGCTGGGCGATTAATCGATTTTAATCATTAATTCGAGTTTTACGTTTAGGGCGATTTCTTTTTTTAAAAATTTGATTTTTATTTTCTCCAGCGCAGAACTACAGCGCTAACGCGCTAACCGCGGGTCTATGGTGTTGAGCAGTCATTTTGAAGCTAACCTAATGCTAACAGTCTCCCTCTGGCCTGATGCTCGCTCTCACAGTTGGTGCTGTTGCAATAACACTTCAAACGTTCAAGAATCAGACTTTATTTAAATCGCCAGAACACACACACACACGCACGCACGCAGGCTCCGGTCGTTATGTTTGTACGCCACATCTTTCACGCTCTCTCACGCTCGTTATTCCAAAGTTAGCTACAGTAGCTGCTACAGTAGCTGTTAGCTACAGTAGCTGCTAGCTACAGTAGCTGCTACAGTAGCTGTTAGCTACAGCATCAGAATGTAAACAGGAAGCTCGCACAATGCGGGAGTCACTGAAGTTAGTATTAGCGCCACCAGCTGGACCGAGCGTTGTACTACAGCACAGTTACTCAGGCACAGTTGAAAGAACAAGCATGAAAACCCGAGGAGGCTTTTGGAAAAGACTGTCTGTTACAACATTTCTATTTTGAGTAATCAGTTTTAAAAATGTGATATTTCATTTAAATAATGCATGTGTTTAATAGGATTGATATATTTGCGATGGGCCTTGTTTGTGTGATTTAAGTTATTTTGAAGGTGCATAGTGTCATTGTAAGTGAAGTTATTATAAAACTGTTAAGCTACATTTTCACTGTTTACAATGACAGAGCCATCTCGTTTACAAGCATGTTTTAAGGCTTAATTCCTGTTACACTTATGCTCCATGGGGATTTAGATTGAACTGCATAAAGGACAATCTATTTCTTTGTCAGTTGTAGTTTGTTTTTAAATAGAAAAAAATAAATTGATTAAAATCGAAAATCGGATTTGGTGTGAAAACATCGGAGATTTTTTTTTTTGCCATATCGCCCAGCCCTATGTACTTGTCATCCTAAACTTTTTCTTCTTTAAATCAACATTTTACTGCTACAAACTCTGCTCATTTCCTTCCCGCTCTGACTCCGCTCTACAGCTGCTCTGATTGGTCAAAGCGCAGCGGAGCCCCTCTGTGCACGTGCATGAGAGCCACACACGCGTATTTGGCGCTAGGCATCATGGGAGCTCGTCCACTGCGCAGAACCAGGAGGACCAGACAATGCCCAAATATAGGCGAGTTCTGCTAAAATGTCAGCGCCCGTGAAGTCCCATGCGCTACTGAGCACAATCTTTTCATTTGAATAGGGCGCCATCTTGGATCACCGGGCTTGGTTTCAGCAAGCTTCTCGTGTATACTACAGTATCCCAAATTAGGCAAATTTAGGCACCCTTTAAAATGAAAATGATTTCAACTTTTAACCCCTTTATATATATATAAAGTCAGAAGAAAACTTTTATGACTTGTGTGGACCGCGGGGATTAGCTCAGAGGACTACTTTGGTCTTCCTGTAGCCCTCAGTCTTAGTCTTGAATCTTGGGTTCGTCTTGTCCAGGTCTGGTCTAGGGTCTGATCCAGGTCTCCTTGTGTCTTCTGCAGTTGTATTTTACAGTGTACGCACAGATTTTGCCAGCTGCAGCAGCGCTCTGACCTACAGCTGCTACTTAAAGGATTTCATTTATTGCTGGCTATTTTAGAACACATCACCCCCGCGATAAACCAGGAACCAGTGTAAAGTCAAAAATCTTTCTTTAAGATTCACAGCATCAGCCCATGTTGAGGATTAGCAGCAAACAATTTAAAGTGCTGTTGCTCCAGCTATATCTGCCCATTTCCAATTCTGATTTGTCATCGCTACAGAATCTCTTTTCAGGGTTACATCCACATAATAAAATGAACATTACAAATTGCGTGACATATACTCTTATCTGATGCGTTGTTGCAGCCAGAACTTATTCCAAACCGACTAATCATGTGTAACAATATTTACAAACTTTTAAAATCACTCAAAAGGCTCTGACGGCGGACTTCCCCTTGGTCTTCGGGTGCATTCACACCTGGGCTGTGTTTTAGGAGATGTTTAAGACCCAAACCCTGGTCCAGTCATCTCACGCTTGCGTCGACACAGTTCCGTGACGTTGTGCAGACTGCGTTATTTGATTCCGACGTGAACCAAAAGCCCACAGCATGATGCTACCCCCCACACTATATTTGACACGTTAGGGAAACTTGAGTGTATTTGCCGGCGTTACAGTCAGAGACCCTGAAGAGCAGTGGAGAGGGAACAGTCTAGTCCTGATGCGCCTCTCACTGCGTGTTGGGAGCTCCGGCCGCGGGGCTGGTGCCGTCTACGTTTGGCGGCTGCACGTTGTCGGCCAGATTGTGCGCGTGCTCCAGGAAAAGGTCTTTGAGTACGCTCAGTTCTTTGCTCAGCAGTTTGATCTTGGCCTCCAGCCGCTCGTTCTCCTCCTTCAGCTCGTTGACGCGCTGCTGCGTGTCCATGGCCTTCTGCTTGCTCCGCTGGCGACTCTTCTTTACCGCCAAGTTGTTCCGCTCTCTCCGCTGGCGGTACTCATCGCTGTCCTTGTCAGCCTGGGACTTCTTCATCTTGCTCGGGGCCAAAGCCTTTCCTCCAGGTGCTGACGGGTTCGCAGGGACCAGTTTGGGCACCTGCGGTAAAGAAGAGAGACGTCAGTTATGTTCAGTGTAGTCTTGTACGGTTTTTGTATCTAGTTTTGTCTGTATTTTCCGCACTATGAGCCACAACTTTTTTCTAGTTCTTTAAACCCTATGGCTTATGTAGCGATGGGCTGGTTTTAGGGCACTGGTTTATGATTAAAATAGACTGGTGAATGAGTCATGAAATCTAACAGTTAAGCTGTTAAACACCTTATCATTAAGATTTAAAGACCAGTTAGAACAGTCATCTATCTGCTATACATTACAACATGACAACCTGTGGCTTATATTCAAGAGCTGCCTTTAAAATAAAGAGAAACATTTTTCTGGAACACTCCGGCAGCGGAGGATCCTGCAGTAAACGTCATATTTCAGGTCAGAACAGGACACAGACTGATGATGTCATCAGTACAGGACACAGACTGAGCGCAGACCTGCAGCGGTCATGTCATCGTGTTGAAAAAGTTCGGTGTGAACATGGAGACACGTACCTGGTTTCAAATGTAACCACTTTGGGACCTGGTTTCAAAAATGTGCAGGTACCATATGCTAACAACCTACCCACAACAAACCAGTACACAGGGATATTCCTTGTTAACAATGGCTTTCAGCAACACTCTAGCGGCGCCAATCAATGTCAGTTAGAACACTTTAGTACCAGCCCGGCCTCGATAGAACCAGGGCCAAGAGGGACTAAAGGACCTGGTACCGGTTAAACAGGGCCTGTCAAAACGCTCCCAATCAGGAGAGTAGCGTAGAATGGGGCCAAGTAGGGCCAGTGGAAACAGGGCACACTGCTGTAAGTTAAAGTATTCCTCCAGAGTTTGTGGCTGCTCGTTCACTGAAAGAATCCTGTCCCTCATCGACTGCTTGTGAACGGTACATCTGTGTCAGACAGTGAGAATGTGCTTTTATCATGACTCATTTCTTGGGAATTCTAATTGTTGGTTTGATGCCAAAAACCTGATCATAGCTATGCTGAGCTCCGTGGTCAAGGGAAAATATTACAAATTGTTAGGGCTGGGCGATAAAAGGATAACGATATATATTGTGATAGACACGTGTTCGATATCAATAGAAAACTGGGTCGATAGAACTTTGATAGTTTCACTTCAGTCCGTAAAACACAGGAAGTAAAGCAGAGTCAGAAGCGCACAGCATTCTGGGGGATGTAGGCAAAGGCTTCTCGACCTATCACAGCCGACTACAAACCGCAAAACTTTCTGGGAAAAGCAAAAAAACAACCGCACCATGCGTAGCGTCCATGGATCATGGATCTATTATAATAGCCATGGATCTAAAGAACGTGTTTCAGTGCCGTGTCAATGGTTATGCACGTCCGTGCGAGGAACAGCATGTGCGGCGGGAGTAGCAGTGGGTACAGAGACTCGATGCATTCGGCAAAAGCAAGAGATTAACTTTCCGGAGCCGTCACGGGGACACAGGACACTCGAAAACAGCCAAAACTGGAGCTAAACCAGGATTAAACCAGGACTAAAGTGGGAGAGACTGCTTGTGAACATTTGGCTCCAGCCTCATTCCCCCGTGACTGTAAACAAGGCTGCTAACACGTGCCGACACGACAAATGTATTTATTTACGTTTAAAAAAATAAACAATATATATAGTTATCGACCGATATGAATTACTTATATTGTGATATAGTTTTCAGCCATATCGCCCATCCCTACATATTGTCATTTACACAAAACTCTTTTCAGTTTGAGTTGTGCATGTTTGAGTTACATATAGGTGCCCTCTATCGCTCTCCTCTCAGTCCTCTGTTTGCCAGCCCCAAGCCTCTCCCTCAGGGTTTACTTACTTTATCCATTTTCTTTTCGTAATCTTTGTGATGATAATAATAATAATAATAATAAATTGGTTTTATAGATTGCTTTGTTGGACACTTATTCAGTCACTCCACACACAGTGCTGATATCCTACTATTGTACACTGAAGCGAGGCAACCGGTATCTGCTATCAGCCCCTCCCACCACCAACTATTCACGCACACACCAGATTTAATTCTAGGCCATGTAGGAGAACAACAGTTTAGGACTTGACAGCCACAGCCGCCCCATGTCCCCCTATGGCACTTGGTGTTTTTGCTAAAAAATAAATTATATAAATCACATTGCAACTAGGGCTGGGCGGCGATATATAATCCACTTGGTGGTAATACCATTTTGAAGAACTCAGACCGAGGAAATGGGTGGAGTCTGTTGTTCTCCTGCCTAGTTGGAGCAGTCAAATCGACTGACCCACAGCTGCAGGTGTGAAACCAGCTCTCATTGGTGATTCCAGCTGTGTGATTTAACCTGCCTTGCCTGTCTGCGTACACTGATATATGACTGTGTGTGCCTTTTACAATACTGAGGCCAAGTCTAGAGTCAAAGTATTTTTCCTGTCTAAGACAAATATGTCCCTGGGCCTCAGCTTGTGTACCTGTTGTAAAGAGGAGGAGTGCGGCTGGCTCTGGATGACGCTCACGCCGTTGTGGTCAGAAGAGGAGAGTTTTTGCTGCTGCTGGTGCCGGCTCATTGGGCTGTGCGGACTTCAAGGAAAGATCTGTGACCGGAGACCTGCTCTGGTGCTGGGGACAGGACTCTGCTCTGGTGCTGGGGACAGGACTCTGCTCTGGTGCTGGGGACAGGACTCTGCTCTGGAGCTTGGGAGAGGACTCTGCTCTGGTCCCCTGCGCCTGGACACAAGCACAAACCATGGATGTATTATATTCCAGGTTAAAAACAGTTAATATACTGTGATTATTTAGTATTTTAATGCCTTATCTGATTGTATATATATGCGTATGGAGTCCCTTTGCTTGGAAAAGTATGGTAACTTGAGCACTATCTTCTCTTCCTACTTTATCTGTCATCCTTATGACTTCAGCTGTAGTCTGTTCATTACTATTCACCCACTGTCCCATTGTCTGTTTCATGGCGTGATGATAGGACCCCTGAACTATGCCTCCTCCATCGGCGGATAACTTCATTTGCAGGGGACACTCCAGCTTGCCTTAGCAACGTGTTTGTTTGCATATGCCCATGCTAACAAATGACCATATGATAATAATGCATCGGATGTATATAGTGCTTTTTGGACACAAAAATAATGACACTCACATGTCATTATTCTTTCACTCCATAAAAAAATGGTGATAAACTACTGCCGTAGCCACTGCTGCCCAGGGGCACAATAACAAAAGCAAGCAACCAGTATGTGCCATCAGCCCCTTCGACGACCACCAACCGTTCACACACACCAGACTCATTCTAATGTGGATGAAGTGTCTTGCCCAAGGTCACAATGACAGGTTTCTATCTAGCTAAATGTTCAAATCGGCCTTTCCCGCATTAAGTCTCACACTATGGGGATGTCCACACATCATTGCCAACTTTGCTCTTGTTTCACGACTGTTACACTGTCATTATGCAAAGTACTGTCCCTGTGCCACAGTTATAACCTTCACATGGACCACATGTCAGCCTGAGTCAGTGGGGACTGTGTGCTCCCAAAGCTCAGAACATCTTTTGGACAATCCAGCTTCTCCTTTAGGAGGGTTAAACTGTGGAACTCTCTCCCCACCAGACTAAAACTACAGACTTACATGACCATCTTCAGCAGAGAGCTCAAACAGTGGTTAAGATCCAGACAGACTTGTTCTCGCATGTAAATTGTATTGTAATTATTTTAAATGTATTCTATCTTCTGTAATTTAAAAGCCCCCTGTGGACGAGTGTTGAAAATTAGCACCTGTGCTATAACACTTACAGCAATGCATCTGGTTCGTCCAATGTTATTGTTATGTCCATATTAAATAAATAAATAAATGTGAGCAACAGTCTTTAAAACAGTTAGGTTTTACGGCTATCTAAAGCCCTGTAGACTCTACTCTACATGGCTGCGTTTCCATTACACTTCAATATCTGGTACTGTATTCTAGGCTTTGTTGTGGCTATGTTCTAGCAACATAAATTCCATTCATTTGTCAGTTGGAACACTATAGTACCAGCTCGGCCTAGATAGAAACCGGGCCAAGAGGGACTAAAGAAGTATCTGGTATCAGGTAAAAAGGGTAGAGAGGGGCCAAATAGAGTAGAGTAGAGTAGTAGAGTATTGCTGGCAAAAATATGAGCTCAAGACTAAAGAGGCAGGTTAAACGACGAGTCGTTTTGAAACATCAACCCGCGTCATCAGCTTCTAGACACAATTGAATTAAGTGTTCGAGATCAAATCACAGTAAGTATACCACAGAAGAACAGCATTTACACCGCATCAAAGGGTTAATGACTGCTTTTAACAACTGGGGGAGTGGCCAGCGTATAAAGATCCCTAAGGGCAAAATTAACTGACAATAAATGCAGCAGTTCCTGAAGAATGAGATTCCTTCAGCACGATACAAACTTATAACAACCGCAAAAAACCTGCAGCACAAGCTCCAGGTTAAAATACATTAGAGGCTGATACACAAGGAACAAGCACAGGGAGAACAAGCAAACTTACAGGGAGGACACATTTCAAATGAACTATAAAAGCATAAAGTGAAAGGCAAACAGAGCCTTATCTCTATTTTCTGATGGTGCATTTCACACAGGTTAAACTCAGCTACCTCAGGTAGTGTGTACAGTGTGTGTTTGTATTGTTCTCTATAAATATAGTTTGTGTGCGTGTTGTTTATACATGTGTACAAAACTTGCCTTGCCGTGTACAGTTTGTGGGTGTATTGTTAATAATAATAATAATGCATCACTTTTATATAGCGCTTTTTTGGACACTCTTCTTTTGGGTTAGGGCTATTCTTTCACTCCATACACGGTGGTGATAAACTACTACTGTAGCCACAACTGCCCTGGGGCACACTGACAGAATGTGCCGCCCCACTGTGGCAGGTGTTCCCAGAGGTTAAGTGTCTTGCCAAGGACACAACGACAGCAGACAGTGGGAGTCGATGGTGAAGGTCGGGCTCGAACCCACGACCCTCTGGCTCAAAGGCCAATGCTCTACCAACTGAGCTACTGTTGCCCTGTTTATACACGTGTAAAGAGTGTGGCTAAGTGTGGCTGTGCGAAATGGTGCACACCATCACGTAGGTAGTAAAAAAAAGGTAAACTATAGCCCCGTCCCAATTCTCACCCTAGTTTTTAATTTGTACCCCTGCCCTAAATTTTGTGTGTGCCCACAGGGGCGTTCCAATATTACGGGTGCACTCAAACCCTTAAAAAGGCTCACATGATGTATTATGAATATGATAGTTGGTAAAGTAGTGCCACAATGAAAGAAAACCACATACATGAAACACCTGGGTGCAGGTATGTGGTGAACGTGCGGAAGCTTCAAAGCGTGCACGGGTACCAGTGAACCCAGCAGAGGAAGCGCAATCTGAGGAGCCGTCTGCGCCCAGAGCAGCAAGCTGCCTGCAGCCTCATGGGACCCCACAGGACCCAGAGGAGAGATGAAGCTGAGTCTCCAAACCTCCACTAGGTCCAAGAGCCAGAGCCCTACAGCTGACCATTGCTCCCAGTTGGTCCAGGGGGAACACTGTAGATACTAAAAGTTAAATATTTAAGTATAAAACGATGTGTAAATGTACAAAGGTAAATTGAATAAATATAAAAAGGTAAAATATAATAATATAAATATGAATTTAAAGCTTCTGTAAAAAGGTGTGTCTTGAGCCTGCTCTTACAACATGCACGTTCTCTGTGGCCCTGAGCTCCCCCAGCTGCTCATCCCAAATTATGTCTAACACCTTTGACACATAATGCTGCTTCTGCTCTCATTATGAAGCATTCGCAGCTACTTTTCACTGTATATGTTGTGTGCTCTTACCACTGTAAGTAAGTAAGTAAGTAAGTAATCTTAATTTATATACCGCCTTTCACAGACCAGAGTCACAAAGCGGTTTATAATTGTTATTATTTATTTTTTTGGTCTTGTATGTGTGCTGCAAAACCAAAATTTCCCCACTGAGGGAAATATAAAAACATGTTCTCTCATCTTATCTTCTCCCTGACCCAAATCCATCCATCACTCATCAAACCCCGGGTCCCACACACCCATCTCCGTGCGTTAATTGGCTTACGCACTCCACACGGCCAACTAGAAACCGTTGCAATGGCTGAAGCCATTGCGATTGACTGCGGAACAGATCTAATGTGGAATTTAGCTGAAAAATCCTTGAAATCCTTGAAACTGTTAAAATACTTTAAACATCTTTGAAACTCCTGAAGTATTTGAAGCTCCTGATATCCTTTAAACTGTTATCCTTTATACTGGTTTTCATGTAAAAACCCCTATTAAGTTCCATTATACTGGTTTACATGTAAAAACCCCTATTAAGTTGCATTATACTGGTTTACATGTAAAAAACCCTATTAAGTTGCATTATACTGGTTTACATGGAAAAATCCCTATTAAGTTGCATTATACTGGTTTACATGTAAAAAACCCTATTAAGTTGCATTATACTGGTTTACATGGAAAAATCCCTATTAAGTTGCATTATACTGGTTTACATGTAAAAATCCCTATTAAGTTGCATTATACTGGTTTACATGTAAAAACCCCTATTAAGTTCCATTATACTGGTTTACATGTAAAAACCCCTATTAAGTTGCATAATACTGGTTTACATGGAAAAATCCCCATTAAGTTGCATTATACTGGTTTACATGGAAAAATCCCTATTAAGTTGCATTATACTGGTTTACATGGAAAAATCCCTATTAAGTTGCATAATACTGGTTTACATGGAAAAATCCCCATTAAGTTGCATTATACTGGTTTACATGGAAAAATCCCCATTAAGTTGCATTATACTGGTTTACATGGAAAAATCCCTATTAATTTGCATTGTACTGGTTTACATGGAAAAAACCCTATTAAGTTGCATTATACTGGTTTACATGGAAAAAACCCTATTAAGTTGCATTATACTGGTTTACATGTAAAAACCCCTATTAAGTTGCATTATACTGGTTTACATGGAAAAAACCCCTATTAGGTTGCATGATTACACTGAAGTCCTTGAAACTGCTGAAGTCCTTGAAACTGCTGAAGTCCTTGAAACTGCTGAAGTCCTTGAAACTGCTGAAGTCCTTGAAACTGTTGAAGTCCTTGAAACTCTTGAAATCTTGAAACTGCTGAAATCCTTGAAACTGTTGAATCCTTGAAACTGTTGAATCATTGAAACTGTAGAAATGTCTGAAAGAGCTGAAGTCCTATTAAAATGCATGGGCCTATTAAAATGCATTGCAGAATTCTCAATGCAGATTTTTGTCCGATTGCGGAAAAACCGGAAATCGCTGAAGTCCCAAAAGTAATAGCAATAATCTCCCAAACATGTGGAACGTTTTGATGTATAACTTGTGGAAATTGTTGAAAATGTGAAAGCTGTGAAACGTGTCAAAAAAAATGACGGAATAAAGAAATACAAAACCAATGGTTGACTGCGGAAGGTTCCGCAGTCAATCAATTAGCGGGTCGCCTGTGGATTGGCCCGTGCGTATCCAGGCGGCCGTCATCCGGGGAAGAGTGGAGGAGGAGAAATACATGTTGCCTGGAGTTGCATCATCGCGGCTCTGGCTCTCTTCTTTGTGCTTATAGCAGGTGGGAACTCCGGAGTCATGCGGGACTAAGCAAAAACCACACTTTTCACGTTGACTTTTCAACATCTGACCCCGAAAACCCCAGCCTGTAATGTGGACTAAGTCGTGCCAAGTCGCTAATCGTCCAATTTCCGGGGCAGTTTCGTAACTTTTGATCATACTCACAATCCACACAGGTTGTTAATCCATTCTCACAATAGAATCACACTTGTAACCGCGTTGGCAGTCTGATTGAGCCACATTTATACCCAACGCAAGCGATATTTTCACTTTCTGACTCCTATGAACTAGGCGTAATAGCTAGCCAGATCGTTAGCACCGCGCGCTAAGCTACCCAAAACGCCGCGTTCTCTTGTTTTTTAACCTCCAATCTGGCTTTTAAACATAATTTACCTTGACTAAGCGGTGAAAGCGTCAACCATCCGCCAGCGTGGAGATGTTATTGTGGGTATTTTTTCGATTAAATCCGTCTGTAGCCGCTCGGAGATGTTTTTGTTTGGAACATAGCAAGGACTGGATTGCGAAATCGCCCTGTCCATGTACGGCAATGTCTACGCGTAGCCAATCACAGAGCGGGAGGCGGGACGGTGCTGAGAAAAGGGCCAATCACGTGTCAGGAATGAGAAGAGTGACGCAATGTCTGGACTGATGGACGTCTCTGAAAGCCAATGGGAAGAGGGCCAGGATTTGGGTTGTATTTATGTAATAGTGGGTGATGTTGGATGAGTTCATACACGCACGACTTACCCATGCGTAAGAGGCTATACTACAGATATCGAACTGGAATCTTTTGTGTGTTCTAGAATAGTCTAACCGTAACATTAAGTATATTAGATAGTTATAGGTCTAGAGTCTTTATAATACACAAAATATATACCTAAATTAAAACTGCTATCAATGTGGGTGAGGATGATGCAATTAGAGGCTGGTATTAGAGAGATAGCTCCTAAGTAGCTCTGAAACAGTCGTTGTTTTGTGTTTTACAATAGTTATAATTATTTTATTTTTCTATCTGAGATGTTGTTGTAGTACAGTGTTCATGGTTTTGCACTGGTCCAAACTAGAGCGGGGATGATTCATGGTACAAAAACAAGCAGATCAGGCAAAAATCCACTGGGTGGAATGCTAACTTTTTTATTAGCATTCAGCATTTTACTTTGGACCAGAGAAAATGGTCTGAACCAAGCGGCTACACCACCTCTGCTGCTGTGGCTAGAAGTGCCGGTGCTTATTATTACTATTGTTAGAATTTTCCATTTTATTTGTTTTGTTTGTGTGGATGGATGGATGTGTACCCTACAGGATCAATAAAGTTTCTATCTATCCATCTATCTAGCAGCCTTCTCATGTATCACAAATACAATTGAGTACAAGAAGTCTAGTTTAAATTGGTAAAACTGAAAAGGAAATTACTACTGATTTTGTGTCATAATTCAGCTAAAATGATTCGGAGACTCCCTCTGCTGCGCACATATGCCTGAGCTCATCGCCGTTACGTCAGGCTGCATTTAAATAGAGCCTCTCAGTCATGCAGCAAGCCTCCTCCTCCCCGTCACCACCTCTTCAGTGGAGAATGTTATCGGCTCAACTTCCAGGATCAACACAAGAGGGGTCTCCAGCAACAGGGTAAAAATTCCGGGAGGGTTCGCACACCTACAATCTCTATGATATTCTCTCCTTATATCTGATGGGGTCTAATTTCCAAACCTTAATGCACATCTGTTCAAATACAATACATATATTTGTGTGGGGATGCTTTTCTTCAGCAGGGACAGAGAAGAGTCAACGTTAGATTCAATTCAATGTATTTGTGTTAGTCCAAAATGACAACAGCCATCGTCTTGGAGGATTTTGTACAGTTTTTAGATCACCAACCACAGATCAGAGAATTAAACAGTCCGAACACAGGAAATGCAACAAAAACATGCACATGGAGCGGGATGACCACTGTCCACAAATGTTAATACATGTTCCGCATCATCACTGCCCTTGGACTGTATGTTAGGAGTGGACTTCCGAGTGTGACATCACCACAGTGCACGCTGGAATTTATGAGAATGAAGGCATCTGATTGATTAATCGTTATATGGCTAATATCTGTACATAATTTGAGCCATGATTTAGGATTTCACAATATTTTAAGATCAAAGTACTGAGTGTGACAGAAACAGTTCCTGAGTTAGAGGAGTTTACTTTCCAATGTAATTCAATACGGCAACTTGTGGTAATTTTTAATCCCATGAGCACTTCCCTATTGGGCTGTATCAGTATTGAGCTAGCGGTCTTAGAGTTTTCCATCTATATAAAGACCAACAGTTGGGACAAACAATGTATTTTATTTATGGCGTTGACAAATTAAATAATTATTATCTGTATAGTTTGTGACTGGGGTCTCTTTCTGGTTTCTCTCTGGTCTTTCTCTGGTCTCTCTCTGGTCTTTTTCTGGTCTTATCCTGGTCTTTCTCTGGTCTTTCTCTGGTCTCCTTCTCTGGTCTTTCTCTGATCTTTCTCTGGTCTCCTGCTCTGGTTTTTCTCTGGCTTCTCTCTCTGGGCTCTCTTTCTGGCCTCTGGTCTCTCTCGCTCTCTGAAAGGTTTGGGATCCCTCCAGACAACAGAACCCCTATGACTTCCCTGATGTCCCTTACATGGTGATGAGGCAGCCGCTGATAAGTCCATAGAGACAGGTTCAAAACACATGTGGATCAGTGCGCGGTAAACAACGAACTTGTGAAACGATTTGAGGATTGTGTGTGCGTGGTTTGATGGATGAGTTTGTCGCGTCATGTGAGCGATCGGCGGAGTTGTGTTTGCTTTAGTATCAGACAAAGGTCAATGTGCACACGCCTTGCTGAGTCACGACAGACCCACACACCAGCTCTAGAAGCACACAAAGTGTCTCTCTCTCTCTGGTCTCTCTCTCACGGGTCTCTCTCTGGTATCTTTGTTAGGTCACTCACTGGTCTCTCTGTCTTTAGTCTCTCTCTGGTCTCTCTTTCTTTAGTCTCTCTGGTATCTCTTTCTTTAGTCTCTCTCTGGTTTCTCTTTAATCTCTCTCTCTGGTCTCTCCTTCTTTAGTATCTCTCTGGTCTCTCCTTCATAGTCTCTCTGGTCTCTCCTTTTGTAGTCTCTCCCTGGTCTCTCTTCAGTCTCTCTCACTTCTTTAGTCTCTCTCTTTCTTTCGTCTCTCTTTGGACTCTCTCTGGTCTCTCTCTCTGATGTTGTCCAAGAAAGGACTTTTAGACGTGGGAATAATATGGCAAATAGTTATATGGGAAATAATGTGCACTTTTACTTTTCAACATTACTATAAAAATGATCTTTTACCCATAGAGTTGCATTGGCACCTGCTCCACAACTGAAAAAGAAATCTACAACATGAACGCAATCTAGTCTTTTCTCTGACGTACAGTAGCTTTACCAGAACCAAAAACTATGTGAGAGCTGCATCGCTTTTCTGGAGAATCCACGGCAAGCTAAGAACATGACAATGCTTTTCTGGAATGTTGTGAGTTGAATTAATGCCAAAAATAAATAACATCTCAATGGAAAGAACCAGCTTCAACGACAGAGGGACACACTGACAAAAGGCAGTGTTAGACTTGTATAGTTTGGTTGGTATAAAATCTGTTAGTACACAAAAATCACATTAGACTCTGAAGACAGTATCTGCAAGAATGAGAATATGGTTATGATTTGGCGAGTAGACCCCGGCGAAGCAATGTGAATAATGCAGAAGGGGAAATAGAAATTTGTCCATATAGGTTCATACATTTCCTGGATCAAGGGGGAAACACTTCCATGGACTGAGGCTGTAGATCCAGGACTGAGGCTGTAGATCTAGGACTGAGGCTGTGGATCTAGGACTGAGGCTGTAGATCTAGGACTGAGGCTGTGGATCTAGGACTGAGGCTGTGGATCTAGGACAGAGGCTGTAGATCCAGGACTGAGGCTGTAAATCTAGGACTGAGGCTGCAGATCCAGCTCCCTCTCTGACCTCTGTCTGCTCTCTCTTTGGCCTCTTTGTCTCTCTCTCTGGCCTCTCTGGTCTCTCGTTAAAAAGAGAGAGCACCCTCACTCAGACTAAAGCGTAAAATAGTGACTCACAGGGCTCTTTCTCAGGATGTAAACAACAATAACACATTTAATACAATGAATACAGCATGTTCTGGTCCGATTTCCATTATTCTGTATGTATTATTCATGGAGGATAAAGTTACATACCCCCAGCTTTAAAATATGTCTATATTTTTTATAGTGGCTCAAAAACACTAGGACTCATTCTTTTAAAAAACTGATAATTTGGCTAGATAAAACTCATTCTCTCTATTCCCAATAGAGGGCGCACCAGTCCACAGATGCCGCCGCCTCTCCTCCTCACGCTCTCGGGTCTTATCCCTGATCTACCCCGAAGGCCTGACGTGAACCCCTGCTCTCAGCTGGGGTCCCTCACACCCCGCCCCCCTGTCCTCTCCCCCCCTAACCTTTTATTATCTCCACGGATCAAGTTCACCCCTCGGAGTCGTGTCAGAGCAGGTAAAACAAGAGATAGCGCTCTTGTCCCAACTAATCCAGCTCAGGCGCTGGAGTCTGGCGTTTATGGAGGCTGCTTCACTGATACGCGCGTATTTATCTGATTGGCACAAGTCCAACAGAGGGAGCAAAGGTTAATTTTCGCCCTGAATACGTCTCTGTGCAGGTTATAGACCGTGGAGGATTTGAGTTGGTGAAGAATCCTGCAGTGGTTATTTTTACGCGCGATACATGTTTGACGCGTGCGCAAATATGAAAGACATTCAGATGCAATATAGAATGGATGGCGAGAATGGACTTGTGTTTGTTATTGCACCCATGTTTGAATTGCCCATTTCAATAGTCACAGAATTGTAAATACGTTATTGTAGATCACAGGTGCAAAACACATAACACATAATATATCATTCTTATGTCAAAATACCTTCATAATGTAAAGGGGAATAAAAACAAGATATTATTGTGACTCAAAACAAAGACAAAAATTAAGATTGGGTTCCTGACTTTTACGTTCATAGCCAAATCGAAACGAACCAATCAGAACGCTGCATGCGATTATAAAAAGAACAGGACAAAAAGAGCCCCGCGACTCACTATTTGACGCTTTGGGCCGAGAGATGATGAAATGAGAAATACAATTGTGTTATTTCCTATAGGTTTACACTACCCCCAGTTCCTCACAACTTGGTTCAAACTTGTTAAAATGCTTGTATCCTACAGTCTTGGTATTGTCCTCTAACATTTGTATTCTTATGATTAATAATAGTACAAACAAGGCCTTAAAAATCATAAATAATCACAGCACATCAAAAAGAGTTAAGGTACAATATGTCAGGAGTTACAGCAAGATTTTTCCTGCATGAATCGAAAACGCTGCATGTCCCCCATGTTTAGTCCTGACTCTTAGCACCAGCAGGAGGCCAGTCCCTGTGCTCCCGAAATGCTCTAAAGTCTCTAATCTGTACATTTTTCTTTCGTATATTTCTCTCCATGATTTCAGTATTCCTCTCTCCCTCACAATATTTGCGGGCTCCAAATGAATGTTGTTTGCACACACTGTAATTCCAAGGCCTAATTTTTTTTGCATAATCGAGTCTAAAAAGCTTCACATTAGACACTAAATCATAGTGAATCCTACATGTGCCGTGCATTAATCCAGGCCGTAAAGGCTTCGTGTTGCTCTGTAGGAAATGTGTCTGTGCAGAACAAGTTAAATCCAAGTCTCCGCGCCCCTCCCCTTCCCGCTTCTATATAAACGTACGTTGACAGCTCACAGTTTACTCTGAGCAGGAGGGATCCACAAGCCTTCCACCTCCCACTGCTCTCACACGCAGCACCAGCTCTGAAACTTCCCGAAAGTGAAGTCCAGCGGGGAACTTTTTTGTACGCACCCGTTTGGATTCCACCACACACCCGCGGGCGCTCTCGGTCATGCACGCCCGGGTCTAGGTCCTCGCTCCCCGTCCTCTCATGGAGCTGTCAAACCTGTACGAGGTGGCGCCGCGGCCCCTGATGAGCAGCCTGACGCACGGGCTTCACCCTCCGCACAGCCACCACACGCAACAGCAGCAGCAGCAGCACCAAAACTCCGAATTCGGCGGAGACATTGGCGATCACGAGACGTCTATCGATCTGAGCGCGTACATAGACCCGTCGGCGTTCAACGACGACTTTTTGGCAGACTTGTTCCACCACAACTCGAGGCAGGACAAGCTGAAAGCGATGAATGGGGAGTATGAGCAGGTCCAGTGTGGTTCAGCTCAGCAGCAGCAGCAGCAACAGCAGCAGCAGCAGCAGATCTATATGTCTGGATACATGGACTCCAAGTTAGAGCCGATCTACGAACCACGAAACAGACCGGTTGCAATTAAACAAGAGCCGCGGGATGAGGACGAGCTGAGCCACGCCATGCAGCCCGCGTACCACCAGCAGTACGCGCAGCAGCAGCCCCAACAGTCGCAGCAAATGCCTCATCTCCAGTACCAGATCGCTCACTGCGCGCAAACCACCATGCACCTCCAGCCGGGCCACCCCACGCCTCCCCCGACCCCGGTCCCGAGCCCGCTCCACGCTCACCACATCCACCACCACCAGCAGCACCACCACCACAGCCAGAAGATGCTGTCCGAGCGCAAGAGCAAGAAGAATGTGGACAAGAGCAGCCCGGAGTACAGGCTGAGGCGCGAGAGGAACAACGTGGCCGTGCGTAAAAGCAGGGACAAGGCCAAGATGCGTAATTTGGAGACGCAGCACAAGGTGGTGGAGCTGTCCACGGACAACGAGCGGCTGCGGAGGAGAGTGGAGCATCTCACCCGGGAGCTGGACACGCTGAGGGGGATCTTCAGGCAGCTTCCCGACGGCTCCTACAAACCCATGGGCAGCTGAGGAGAGAGGACATAAAAGTTCTGCCTTTCTTTTTATTTTTTTTTTATTAGAGTCTCTCTGGACTTTGTTGTGGTCAGCTGTGACTGCGTGAGTAAAGCCTCTGAAACCACACCAGACTGGACCGCATTGAGTGAGTAAAAAGAAATGGACTTTGCAATACTCCTACTCAGCTGTGCGTGGGTGATAAATGTCCTAAGAGTGTGGAGACTTAACCCGAAAAAACAGGGACCGAATTAAAGCTGGGGTACTTAATTCTTCGATTCTTAAACATGTATTGGTCAAGAACAGAACTAATCTTGCAAAAAGTATAATGTTGTGAAAAAACCACACCACAACTGGCTGTTTTTTTTAAATGCTATTAGAAAACACATTAACATTTGTGCCTGTGAGTCACTATTTGACGCTATAGGGGCTGAGAGCTGATAGGTGGTCCTCTCTTTTTCACTTTTCTGACTGAAAATGCTGATTTAAAGATGCGACAGAGGCAAGAAAGATATCAAAACTAGTGATTTGTTTGTTTGTTGAGCAAGGAACAAGTGACGTATTTTTTGTTTTAAAACTTCTTTTAATTGTTTGCGGTTTGAAACCTAGGTACCCCAGCTTTAAGTTACTGAAATGGCACTACTGGTTGTGATTTTTGAAGTAGAAAATCGAATGTTTCCGTCATACCTGTGGGTGTGTGGATCGACTGTTGCCATTGCGATCAGCAGTTCAAAACTAAATTATTTTGTATCTTTTGAATGAGTGTTTGTCCCTGATCAAAGACATATTACCAAACTACTGTACCTGCCAAAAAAAACTATTTAAACCCAGACTCTAAACACCAGCAAAAGAAAAAAAACAGTGAATATTGTGCTGTTACTGACAAATATGACATTTGAATCCACGTTTGCTGATTGAACGGAGCGGACTGGAGCACTGCCAGAACTCTGCGGCGTTTTTTTGGTCACTTTTGCCTTTTTTACGAAACGAACTGGAAGCGATGGTTGCAAAAGCACATGTTACGTCTGCGCGGACTCCCGGCGCGTGCCTTTTGGAGCAGAAGTGCCTCTTTGAACGTAACACCGCTCATCATCCGTGCAGCTATGTGCTTGTTCTTCAACATCATGACGGTTTTTATACATGTGTGTGTTTGACTCTCTGAAATGCTTCCAACTTTAAATTTATCCATACATTTTGTTCATTTTAAATGTCGGGATTTATCGGCTTTTTTGGATTTTGGATGATGGTCGTTTCTTCTAATGCTATAATAAAGGAATCGTTCATTTGCAAAAATAGACAAGATTCGGACAAACTAATTTCAAATGCTTACAAACCATGTAGCATGTAACCATGGTCTCTCTCTGGTCTCACTCTGTTCTCTCTTTTTCTCTCTCTCTCTGGTCTCTCTCTTTTCACTCTGGTCTCTCTTCTTGTCTCCCTCAGGCCCTTCTCTCTGGCCTTTCTCTCTGATCTCTCTTTTCTCTCTGTCTCTATTCTAGTCTCTCTGGCCTTTCTCTCTGGTCTCTCTCTCTGGTCTCTCTCTCTCTCTCTCCCTGGTCTCTCTCTTCTAGTCTCTCTTGCTGGCCTTTCTCTCTGGTCTCTCTCTCTCTGCTCTCTCTCTTTTCACTCTCTCTGTCTCTCTTCTCTATCTGTCTTTCTCTATGTCACTGCTATTCACAAAATCTAATTCACTGCAGATAATAACAAAACAAAACAAATCATATGCATTCATCAATTAAGACCAATTCTCTGCAAAAATGTCAGGTTTTTTTTGAAAGTTGAAAGCATTCCACAGATTGAAAACTGTGTACGGTGTTATTGTGTAAAATATGTTATATCGAGACATTGTAATACTCGTGTTGTTTCTCATCTGATGCCAAAGTGAACCGAACAATACAAATGACTGGAACTGAAACTGTGGTACGGCTTTATGTGTACGCGCTCTGGAAGGACGTGCATCCACAACATGTTGTTTTTGGCTGATTTCAAGACTTTTTGTGAAATAATTATACAAACTATGCTCTTCCCGGCTGCATTAGACCCCATGTGAAAGTCCTGGGTCCAAAACCTTTAGACTTACGGTGTGTAAAGCAGGATTGCACATACTCTACTCATTTAAATACCATAATATTTGTCACTAGTGGTTAAAAAAAACATGTGAAAAATTATTCAAAATATTGTGTATTTTGTGTCCCTAAGTCACACAAAAGTCAAATTTGTCACTCTAAAAATATACCTTATGTTGAAGACCAAATGTGTTGCAAAAACATGTTATATTTTGCAAATTTAAGCCAAAAATTGTGTGTTTGAAGATGCACGTTTTTTGACAGAAGGACATTTTTAAATAAAGCTAGTTTTATGCACTATGAAGAAAGCTGTAACATGGCACATTCTGGGTTCTGATCTCCGAGCGTTCATCTCTCTGTCTTTATTATTATTTTCCTCTGTTTTTTTAAGTCCGTAATAGGTTGGATTCACGCAACGTCATTCTGAATTAGATCAAACACGGAGCTGGAACGGTTTTTCTTTTAAAGCAGGATTTTGATCTGTTTTTGGTTAATATTTCAGGGCGTATCCCGGCGAGAGCCTGCAGACCAACACGAGAAATAGCGAGATTATTTCACTTCGATTCAATATATTTGTGTGAAGGCCTAAATCACAACAGCAGTCGTCTCGGAAGACTTTGCAAAGTTGTAGATTCGCCAATAACAGATCAGAGAATCAAACAGAATTGCAAACAAGTATTCCAAGCTATAATACGACAGCTTAGCCTTGACATATTACTGCATTTTGGAAGCGAGCGGCTGAGTGGTTAGCAAGAAGGTTCTAGTCCCGGTTGGCACAGGGCCTTGCTGAGTGAAGTTTGCATGCTCTTCCCGTGTCTGCGCAGGGTTGCTTGAGGTTCTCCCTATCAATAAAAATATGGTTGGGTCAAATGTTTAGGGCAAATAAAGTAGATATTGTAAAACATAGGATTATCAATTATGTCTCAATCTCCTTTAAAGTTATCGGGGACATTTGTGACTGACAATATCCTCAAAACGTGTGAATCCAACCTGTTATAACTTCTTGAAAATTACACAAAAATGTGAATGGGTTCTATCCAACGGTGTCTTCTTCCACACGCGGTGCCTTCTGTAGAGAAATGGTTGAACGTTTGTCTTTCTCTTCTTCTTTTTTTCTTCTTGTTCTTGTTTAGGGTTCAATTGTACAAAAGCCTATATGAATATATAAATAAGTATAAATATGAATACCAAAAATCTGGAGTATAATAAAAGAGCAATGTTTTATTAAACCACCTGTTATTTGACTTTTTTTTCCTTCTTATTGAGCAACACAATGTGAGTGAAGACATATGCTACTAACAGAACACATAGTAAGATTAAATAATTACTAATTACTGTAGGTTCATACAGCACTTTTCTGGACTCTTAAAGATGCTTCACATGTTCACTTCATTCACTCCATACACAGTGATGATAAATTACAACTGCCCTGGGGCACACTGACAGAAGCGAGGCAACCAGTTTGTGCCATTGGTGTATGTGCCAACCCTCACCACCACCAACCATTCACACACACACACACAGTTTGACACAGTCCCAGCCGCCCCACTGTGGCACCTGATGTTCCCAGAGGTCTCCCATCACACCTCTAAACAGGCTATACCCTGCTTAGCTTCAGAGGTCTGACATGAGCTAGCTTTCACATGGAGCAGGTGCCATACATGTCATGCTTGTTCAGTTACAGTGAAAATTATAGAAATATAACGATACACATACTTTACATTTTGGGTTTTCTTTTTGCGTCTTCTTTACCAGAAAACTGTCATTTAGTGAATTTGTTCCATTATTATCTCCACAGAGTCAAGCTGGACTGTTTTCCTCTAGACTTTATTAAATTGTAAACATTTGAGTGATTTTAAATTTGAGAATTGAATGAAAATCAATCAGATGCAAGGAACAAGGTGCCTCGTCCTCTCCTGGTGCTTCGTCCTCTCCTGGTGCTTCGTCCTCTAAAGGTGCCTCGTCCTCTTCTGGTGCCCCATCCCCTCCAGGTACTTCGTCCTCTCCTGGTGCCTCGTCCTCTCCTGGTGCCTCGTCCTCTCCTGGTGCCTCGTCCTCTAAAGGTGCCTCGTCCTCTCCTGGTGCCTCGTCCTCTCCTGGTGCCTCGTCCTCTACTGGTGCCTCGTCCTCTAAAGGTGCCTCGTCCTCTCCAGGTGCCTCGTCCTCTCCTGGTGCTTCGTCCTCTCCTGGTGCTTCGTCCTCTCCTGGTGCCTCGTCCTCTCCTGGTGCTTCGTCCTCTCCTGGTGCCTCGTCCTCTCCTGGTGCTTCGTCCTCTCCTGGTGCCTCGTCCTCTCCTGGTGCTTCGTCCTCTCCTGGTGCCTCGTGGAGTTTCTCTGATCTTGTTCTCAGTGAGTGAAAGATGGAGGTGACTCTGACAGATCAGTGCAGTGTGTGCAGTGGTCCCTGTATCGGACTGTTGTGGTGAAGAGGGAGCAGTGTCTGCAGTCAGAGCTCTACGTTCCCTCCCTCAGCTCTGGTCCTGATCTTTAAGTAATGACCAAAAGGACGAGGTCGCGAATGCAAGCGATCAGCATGAATTTCCTCTGCACATGGAGAAGCTCAGTCACACTGGAGGAGCTCGGAGTAGAGCCGCTGGATCTCCATGTGGAGAGGAAGGGGAAGACCCGGGACACGCTGGAGGGACTGGGAACGCCTCAGGATTCCCCCAGATGAGCTGAAGGAGGTGTGTGTGGAGAGGGAGGTCTGGATGTCTCTGGATAGTAAGGGTGTATTCAGACCTGAAAAGTCCTCCGCTTGCTTGATCCGAATCAAAAGCGGACCAAACTTTTTTCTTTTGCTCCGGTTTGTATTCAGACTGTCCTTTTTGCAAGTGAACTTTTTTTATATAAACATATTGACACGTGTGACGATCGGCTCCTATTGGACAGAGAGAGCTCACGGAGGATAGACACGGAACCGGCAGAAAACATTGAGGGCTCGTATGTGCAGCATGTCTGCTCTGCCTATGTTTGCTCTTTTTAGAGCAAAACCACCTTCAACATCAACAGCAGCTCATATGACACAGGCCAAACACGTTGTTTTAAATATTGGAACAGCGTCGGAGAATGCGTGAGGAGAAAGCCGAAGGAGTCTGACTGTGCGCTCCGTGCCCTGTACCACACATGGATCTATGATAATAACGGCCCTGTTCAGCATGTGGATAAACCATGGATCTATAATAACCACGGGACAAACAGATCATGTAGGAACCAAAGAACACAATTCACTACATAATGCAGAATATTGCTCTTTGACACGTGAGTCAAACAGTGTCAGGCTTTTAATAATGCAAATGGTTTGAAGATGCTGCCATTAACATCAATGTATACTGTGAACAGTTGTAACCACATAAGCCTGTTGCACAGCGTCTCCTCACTGCTCCAGGTCTGCACACGGCTCATTGTTGTTGTGTAGCGTTAGCAGCAGAGTTAGCATCATAGTTAGCCGCTGCGTGGCTAATTCCTCACAGTTTCTGTCTGCGGCTTGTTAAGCCCAAAAAATGCGCACGTATCTTGGAGTTGTGTCGGATCGACACCGGATGTATTCAGACCTGATTAGACTTGGACCAGAATTCGTTTGGAAGCGGACCGAGACCACCTAAAAAAGTGGGTCTCGGTTCGGTTCTTTAATCCGGACCAGGATTTGTTTGTGTGTATTCAGACCTGCATAAAAGCTTCGGATCAGAGTTCCAAATGAATCCTGGTCCGTTTAAAGTGGAGCAAATGTGCAGGTCTGGATACACCCTAAGTAATCAAATCAATATATTTTGTAGCAGACACAAAAAATCAAATACTTGTTGATTGAATTGTTGACATGAACACTACAGACGTGCCAAAGGCTTGTGACGGATGGAGAAACAAGTTTGATTATTGACTTCCTCTTTTCACCGAGTAAAATTCAGGAACACCAGCTTTAAACAACGAATCAAAGAACTATGTCTTAATGCAACAGCTGCTGTGGAGCAAAGATAAGAAACTGGATGTTTGTACAATAACATTTTGGATTCAGCAGAATATCTGTGACTCAAACCTGCGTGGTCACTGTGATAAAGAAAACAGAAGTTAAATGGTTAATGGGTCAAACAGGAGCCTCATTCGCACTGAGCAAACACGCACCTGAGCGACACGGACTGCTGCGGCAGAACGACTCGGCTTTCTTGCGACGTGGTCTTTCTCTTTGGTCATATATATTTTTTTTCAGGGTCGCTTAAAGGAGTAGCTCTCTGCCTTTATCATCTCGGGAAAGTAGCTCTCTGGGTGAAAAAGGTTGGAGACACCTGCTCTAGTCTCTCTCTCTAGTCTCCCTCTTTAGTCTCTCTCTCTAGTCTCTCTCTGGTCTCTCTGGTCCAGTACGAGTCCAAACAACACACCTTCGTTTCCCACTGTTGTCCAGGATCAACACAGCATTCCCACACAGGGGAGAGAGCCTGTTGGAACCACCCGGACAACTCATTTCCATGGATAAAAACGACAGCAGAATGTGGTCAGTCAGCTCCAAAACCCTGTCGTTCTATCAAACATAATAATACAATCAGAATGTTGCTGTCACCTTCTCACTTTCACATTCATAACTCTCTAATCTTCTGTGACAGACATCCCCAACATCATGGAGCCCTTTCAGATCAAATGTGGCCTCTCTATGGTCTCTCTCAGGTCTCTCTGGCCTCTTTTTGGTCTCTCTCCGGTCTCTTTCTCTAGTCCCTCTCTCTGGCCTCTCTCAGGTTTCTCTCTCTGGTATCTCTCTGGTCTCTCTTTCTGGTATCTCTCTGGTCTCTCTCTCTGGTCTCTCTATAGCCTCCCCCTCTAGTCTCTCTCTGGTCTCTCTCTCTCTCTCTCTCTGGTCCCTCTCTCTGGTCTCTTTCTCTGCTCTCTCTCTGGTCTCTGTCTCTGGTCTCTTTCTCTACTCTATCTGTGGCTGGTCTCTCTCTCTCTCTCTCTGATCTGTCTCTGGTCTCTCTCTGGCCTCTCTGTTCTCTCCCTGGCCCTTCTCTCCTGGTCTCTCTCCGGTCTCTTTCTCTAGTTCCTCTCTCTGGCCTCTCAGGTTTCTTTCTCTGGTATCTCTCTGCTCTCTATAGCCTCCCTCTCCAGTCTCTCGCTGGTCTCTCTCTGCTCTCTCTCTGCTCTCTCTCTGGTCTCTGATCTCTCTCTGGTCTCTCTCTCTCTCTCTGGTCTCTCTCTGGTATCTTTCTCCAGTCTCTCTCTCTCTCTCTGGTCTCTCTCTGCATTCACCAGTAGCAGTCGTCAGTTAACTCAAAAATATCTGTCCTCCTTCAATCCCAAATATGAACAGCAATAACAGAACTTTGCTGTCCCCCGAAGCCAATTACGATTCAACCCTTTCAATGTTTGCTCTCGACCTTTTCCGACTTCGCACTCATAACTCTCAAGTCTTCCGTGACAGACATCAGCAACAAAACATGAGGCCCTCGCAAAAAAAAAAAAAGTACAATTTTATTCCAACGCGCGGAGAACGGAGCCAACGCACGTAGCAAACAATTGTACGTGTAATCAGCGACGGTAGAGAATAAGAAACTTAGACAGCTTCTGCGGCGCCAAAAAGCAAAAAAAAAGTAAACACGAAGCAGGTTGATGGAAGCACGCTGCTGGCAGAAGGGACGGGGGGAGGGTGAGAGGGCTTGATAACTCACAGATGCTCGGTGCGGTGCGATGAGCTGAAATACCTCTGCACAGATGCATCGTGGGAGCGGCGAGAGGTGCCGAGAGTTTTTTGTATGGCACAGTTCATGAGCGAAGGCAAAAAAAGAAAAGAAAGAATGAAGAAATACAGGCCTCGAACCCTGTTTTGAGGTCACACAAAATACGGTTGGAGGCAGGTCTTCTCTTTTCCTCCTCTCGGTCTTACTCTCCTCTCTTTCTTCTTCGTCTCCTCTTATCTCTCTCCTGTCTCTTGTCTCCTCCCTCCTCTCCTTTCCTCCTCTCTCCTCATTCTCAGACTTCAGGAGATGTTGCTCTAAAAGCCCCTCTCTGACTCCTCTCCTCTACCCTCTGCTCCCTCTTTCCTCTCCCTCTCGCTCCGCTCTCTCTCTCCTCTCCTTTTATCTCTCTCTCTCTACTCTCCTCTCTCCTCTTTCTATCCTCCATCTCTCCTCTCCTCTCCTCTTTTTCTCTCCTTTCTCTCTCTTCTCCCCTCTGCTTCCTCTTTCCTCTCCCTCTCTCCTCTCCTTTTCTCTCTCTCCTCTCCTCTCTCCTCTTTCTATCCTCCATCTCTCCTCTCCTGTCCTTTTCTCTCTCTTGTCTCCTCTCTCTCTCCTTTTATCTCTCTCTCTCTCTTGCTCCTCTCCTCTCTCTCCTCTTTCTATCCTCCATCTCTCCTCTCCTCTTTCTCTCCTTTCATCTCTCTCCCCTCTCTCTCTCTCTCTCTCTCTCCTCTCCTCTCTACTCCCTCTCTCCTCGCTCTCTACTCTTCTCCTCTTCCTCTTGTCATTCTCAGACATGGTTGTCACTTTGATTCCCTGTTGTATTCTGTATTATCTGTTCTTGTCTTTTTGAGTTTTACTTCCTGTTCTGTTCATCCCGGCCCCGCCCTGATGTGTTGCACCTGTGTCTCACTTAAATTCTCTGCTCTTACTGTTTCTTCTGTGCTCTTTCCATCTTGTTGTCCGTCCATTAAGTGTTTGTTCCGTAATCGTTCTTCGTCCCCTGTTCTTGTGTTTTACATTCAGCTGAGTTTCGTCTTATTCATTAAATTCTATTATTTATTGCAGTATTGAATTTGGGTCCTCCTTATGACAGCAACGTGACAGATGTTGTTATAGTGTGAGTTGTCTCCTCTCTCTTCAGCAGGACACAAACACTGTGGAGTTCCAATGTTGTTGTGGTGCGTGTGAGTTCATCAAGAGGCAGTGATGATGCAACCATCTCAGAATCTCTGCGGATAGAGACCGTAAACACACAGTGGCGTGTACGGAACTTTGAGTTCATGATCATACGTACAAATGACTTTATATTTGTGCTAATATTTCAGTTACAATGATATTTGTATGACGCGCCACATGAGCCCAGAATATGAGTGGGGGCTGCTCTGATATTAAACTTTGATGTCCACTAGGGGGCTACATATTATATTTCTGCGGACCACAAATGGCCCACAGGCTGCAGGCTTGACACCCGTCCCCTAGAGGGTTGTGAACATGCATTTTCCCACTTCTTTTCAGGCAGAATTATACGGCCATGTTTATACCGTACATTTATTGTTATGCATTTTTTGCTTATACTGTTTTTTGTGTGTCTGCTTTTTGCATTATATGATTTAACTGGATTTAATTACCTTATTTACTCACCTGTGCCTTTGTCTGAAATAAATGAATAAATAAAATAATAATGATCTCCTTATATTCAGAAGGTTGAATTATTAATGTTTCATGCTCTGCTAATTGCGAAGAGCAGGACTGGTTTTCAGATATAAATCATATTCAATCTAGGAATACTCAAAACAAAGACAGTATTAAAGCACACACAATCTATTCATTGCATTTGAACAGAGTTTCTAGAGCTTGTGAACCTGGAGAGCCTCGAGCCTGGTCCTCCGAGTCTAAAACCTTGGTGCAAGAGTCCTATCAGGTCTAAACCCCGGTGCTAGAGTCCTATCAGGTCTAAACCCCGGTGCTAGAGTCTTATCAGGTCTAAACCCCGGTGCTAGAGTCTTATCAGGTCTAAACCCCAGTGCTAGAGTCTTATCAGGTCTAAACCCCGGTGCTAGAGTCCTATCAGGTCTAAACCCCGGTGCTGGAGTCCTTTCGAGTCAAGACCCTGGTGGAGAGGAAAGGTGAACCAATTATAACATTCTTCATTGATGAGGTGGTGATGGGGAGGAGGAGGGTTGCTGCATGACTAAGAGAAGTGATGGCGATGAGCTCAGGAGCATGTGAGAAGCAGAGGGAGGGCACAACATCTCTCCAATCTTCCAGACTACCTCCACTTTAGCTGCAACAGAACACAAGATTACATCAATCCAAATGAAACCCAGTCCAAACCAGAACCTGCCGATGGGCTTTGGGCCAGATACCAGTGTTTGGTGCAGGTTTGGGCCCCGCAACCCCCAGTTGAGAGTCTGAAACGTCCATATCTCGTCCCTGTTGTGACTTTGCGGTAGTTCAGTAGATCATCCTCCAATCTGTTCTGCGTTTGGCGGCCGTCACAAGTTCAGGGTGTGTGAAAAACATAACTTTTCATTTGTTTTTGGACGTTGCGCTGATTCCGCATTTGGCCTGGGGGAAGTTTCGCGGATGGAACGCATTAGACCGGTTGCGGCTGGAGCTGAGCCTGTGTTTTAACTTTTTATTTTATTTGCGATTCAAGATATTTCTGCTGGCTTCTGCACCGTCCAGTTTTGGCCTGAGTCGGACGGTAATAATGCGTTCACACGGCCCATTGAACAGTTTTACGTAGTTATATCACGGGTTCACTGTCGTCGTGTTTTGGATTGTGATGGATTTGAGAGATTTTGATGTGAAACAGGAGAAGGTCTGGTCTTAATCTGGATTTATTTGCCTGTTTTCATGTGAGTGAATAGAACTGAAGACACTGATTCATCCCGTTCTTGGGGAGTGGTTGGATTGCACTGGCCTCCTTTGTCGTAGTCTGGTCTCCTTCTGGTCTCTCTCTGGTCTCCCTCTGGTCTCTCTCTGGTCTGTCTGGTCTATCTCTGGTCTCTTCCTGGTCTCTCTGTGTCTCTCCCTGGACCGTCTCTCTCAGTTCTTTCTATGTTCTCTTTCTGGTCTCTCTTTCTGGTCTCTCTTTGGTCTCCCTAAGGCCCTTCATGCCTTAGTATTACTCGGGCCCCGGGTCTCCAAGATGTCTACCGCACCATGGACGTCCCAAACATTGGCAAATCAGAGGGGTACTATGAGGTGTAATAATACGAGGAGCGCTATGTACGCGCACTAACTCCAACAAGTCACGCTGCTTCTATTGACGGAAGTGAGCGGGAGTGAAGTCTTGGGTGTTAGTGCGCGGACGTAGTGCTCCTCGTATTATTACGCCTCACAACATAGTACCCCTTTTTATCCGCAGAGAAAATCGACTTGTTACATTTCTGTGTTACTATACTTTGTAGAGTAACACGTTACGTAACTGTATTTAAATAGGGAAAAATTGGGCTTTAATGGAGTGATTCAAAATGGAGTGATTCACAGCGAGTAAACTAGACTGGTCCAAAAAAATTCACCCCCCTCAGCATTGACACACATGTGGAACGGAGCTTTGGGCCAAGAGCCAACTTTTGGTCCATCCTGTAAAGACGTTTTCGAGAGGTAAGAAGATGCTATATGTTTGCATTGGCTAATTCTTATTCCGGGTCCACCCCCACAGGCCCGGGGTGGTATTGCAAGCATGTCAGCGCACGTCATTTTAGCCACTTTTGAGCCGGGACCCGCCCCCACTGGTCTAAACCATTCTGATTTTTTTTTCTAAATATGCCATCCAAACCCTGCCATAACCTTTGCTATGACCCCCTGGCTCATATACATTTTGAGCAAGCTAAATTAATTTATATCTTTCTTTTCATGCAGTGCTCCCTCAGATGGTATTGCGTCTCTGACTTATTTACTCTGGACTTTTGCCAGAGTCCAAACGTCCTCACACTTTCAGATGGAGGTCTGTGGACGCATCAGAGAACATGTGCTTATTTTGGACTCTGTATTTGCAGTTTCAAAGTGCTGCAGCTTTCATTGACTCTGACTCGGGCTCTATCTGCCGAGGGCTGTTTGACCATCCACTTTTCATGTTTGAATAGAATCAAACATTAACCTGGCTTTTCAGCAGCCCACAGAGCACGAGAGCAGTGCGTGCCACAGTCACACATCACAGCTGTAGATCCAGGACTGAGACTGTAGATCCAAGACTGAGGCTGTAGATCCAGGACTGAGGCTGTAGATCCAGGACTGAGGCTGTAGATCCAGGACTGAGGCTGTAGATCCAGGACTGAGGCTGTAGATCCAGGTCTGAGGCATTAGATCCAGGACTGAGGCTGTAGATCCAGGACTGAGGCTGTAGATCCAGGTCTGAGGCATTAGATCCAGGACTGAGGCTGTAGATCCAGGACTGAGGCTGTAGATCCAGGACTGAGGCCGTAGATCCAGGACTGAGGCCGTAGATCCAGGACTGAAGCTGTAGATCCAGGACTGAGGTTGTTGATCCAGGACTGAGGTTGTAGATCCAGGGCTGAGGCTGCAGACCCAGGTTAGAGACTATAGATCCAGGACTGAGGCTGTAGATCCAGGCCTTAGCAACACATCTGCCCCTGTTTCAGCACAAAGCTAACACAGTCAAAACAATTGCCCATATAAGGAAATTGACTCAAGCTCGCTCACCTTCAAAACAGCTTCTTCCGCACTGAGGCTAACACCGGCGATGTCACACTCTGTCAGTCCACTCCTAATATTCGCTCTACTGTATCTTCATAAACTAGATCCTGTTATATTGATTGATTGAAAAATCCAAAACGTGTTGATTCTATCAGTCAGGTACAGTCAGGAGATGAGGGGAAACCGTTAGAATCTGGTTAAAAGCTTAAACAGTCGACATTGTCTTCAATCAGAAACATATATTCCATGAAACTTGGCTGGAGTTGTGCTACAGTGTGTAATTAACAAACTGGTTTTATGATCCTGAACTCGAGCAGAGGGGAAGAGACACGTCCCCAAACCACAGATATGGAGCTCGTCTTTACGGCCCCTGAGTGTAACGGAACCCAACTTCATCCATCGACAGGAACCACAAGTATTT